ATTTTTGAGACAGTTTCACTATGCAGCCCTTCACCAAGCTGGCCTTGAACTCATGGAAATCTAACCGCCTCTGCTTCCCAAGTGCTGGGTATGAAGGTCCATGTCACCAATCCTGGCTTCTTTCTGTGACTTTAAGTACTCAACTTCCTTTCATCAGGGAACGTAATGTCAAAATACAATGACATCGACGCCCAATATGAGGTTGGGGTTTCCAATGGAAAGAAGTCTTAGTGCATAGGTTCCTCATCCTTTAGAACTGACCTAAGCAAATAAAATTAGTTATTGATTGTAAGGTCTTTTAAACATTAATTAGTTTGGGAGTGTGCTATGCCGTGGCGCACATGTGGAGGTCAGAGGAAAACTTGCAGGAACTGGTTGTTTTCTTCCACCACGTGGGTCCCAGGATCAAACACAGATGGTCAGACTTGGCAGCAAACCCCTTTACCCACTGAGCCTCACCGGCTCAACTTCATTCAGTGGGGTGACTTTTTGAATTTTTATTTTTACGTGTGTGTGTGTGTGTGTGGGTGTGTGGGTGTGTGCACTTGCTGGGCGTTGGATTCCCTGGAACTGGAGTTACAGGCAGTTGTGAGTCTCATGTGGGTTGGGGTCTGCATTAGCAACATGCTCTCTTAACTACAGAGCTATCGCTCTACCCTGGTGACTCCCATTTGGATGAGGCCAAGGGTTGTAGGTGGCCAATTATTTTTATATCAAATGCCACCCAGTTTCTGCCTGTGTAATAATGATTCTCATTAGTTCCCTTTTCCAAACAGCTTTCAGTCTCCATAGGTGCCCCTCCCCCAGTGCTCCAAAAGGTACCCCTCCACCTAGTGCTCCTGAGAATTTCTCAGCCTCATTCTATGAGACCATAATAATGATCATGGTGTTATTTACTTAGCGTTGTGTGCCAGGCGTTTGGATGCCTCTTCTTGTGCGGGCAACACAGGAACCCAGAGAGGTACATGGTTTACAGATGGGGAACATAAGCTTAAAGCCATACAGCCAGAAAATGGCTGAAAGAGGTCCAGGCCCAGATCTGTCTGTGCTAGAAGCCTATGCCTTTTCAAACCATTATGATTTGTTTTAGTCTTATAGTCGGGTCCACAAAAAGAGATCCCTAGGGCAGTGAACTGGCCCAGCAGGTGAAGTGCTTGTCAGTGGTAGAGCTGGCCCTGCCCCTCATCCGCTGCAGCACTCCAGAGAGTGGCTCCTGCACCTGTACTGGGGACACAGTAGAGCTGGCCCTGAGGATGGGAAAGCAGGAGAGCTGGCCCCACACCTTGCTCATTGCTGCAAGGAGCAAACTAGCCAGGGCAGTATTGGAGAACTTGTCCCAGTGGTGAAGACTGGGGAGATCTGGCGGGCTGACCAACTCTGCAACTACCCAGGCCCAGAGCCAGGGTTAAGTGCTGGCCCACCCCAACATCCACCCCATCCTTCTGTATACATGTCCTTCTGTATACATGTTTCTCTTACTGGTTGATGAATAAAACACTTTGGCCTACAGAGACAGAGAGACAGGTGGGACTAGGAGACAAGGAGAATTCTGGGAAAGGTAGGCAGAGAGAGACATCATGGAAGGGCCAGGAGGGTAGGGTGTGCCAGGTATTCCTTTAAGATCGGTAAGATACATATTAATAGAAATGGGCTAATAATTAAGACAGAGGTAGGCAATAAGAAGCCCTAGCCATCAGCCAACAGTTTAATAATATAGTGTCTCTGTGTGTTCATTTGGGGCTGAAGCGCCAGGACCAGCTGGGACAAGAAAGTACAACTCAACTACACCCCATCTGTGATCTGCTGCGGGGGGGGGGGGAGGGAGGGCAGTCCTGCAGACTCAGGGCTACAGGATCTCTAGGACACAGGGCAGCAAGGGGATGTCCAGGAAGAGTCCCAGTGAGGGCCAGTATCAGTGGTGTAGCAGAGACCAGGGGCCTTGAACCAGACCAATGATTGTTTTTGATAAACGCCTGCATGTAAAGATGTTTGGATAAAGGGCACTACCATGTGACTCATGTGTCACACTGCACCTTCCATCATGAGGTTTCCCCTTCTTCCTTTTTTTTTATTTTAAGTTTTATTTTTTAATTTTTTAATTTTTTATTTTTTATTTATTTATTTTTTTAGGGAGGGAGGGATGTTGCAGGGGCTGACGGTGGATTTGAGGGGACAGGATATGGGTGGGATCAGGATGCATGATGTGAAATACACAAAAAATAAATAAAAAAAGAAAGTTTTTTTTTAAAGTGTTTGTTGTGCTAGCCTAGGCAGGTGAGTCCAATTCCTGCCACCCTTGTAAAAGTGTGAGGAGACAACCAACTCCACAAAGTTGTCCTCTGACCTCCACTTGCCACTTCCCATGGTTCTCTCTCTCATTCTGGTTTTTCAAGACAGGGTCTCCCTGTGTAGCCCTGGCTGTGCCAGAACTCCCTCTATAGACTAGGCTAGTTTGGGCACTGAACAGGTTTCCTGTGCCCTTTCATGGAGAACTTGCCATGTAGGAAATCATGAGAAAGGGGCATGTGATGGTGTCTTAATTAGGGTTTCTATTGCTGTGAAGAGACACCATGACCAAAGGAAAACATTTAGCTGGGGCTGCTGTGCAGTTCAGAGGTTTAGTCTATTATGGCAGGAAGCATGACAGCATGCAGGCCAACAGTGCTAGGGAGGTAGCTGAGATTTCTACATCTTGATTGCAGGTAACAGGAAGTGAGCTCTGTACTCTACTGGGCATAGCTTGAGCATATAAGACTTCAAAGCCCACCCCACAGCGTCACATTTCCTCCAACAAGGCCACACCTCCTAATAGTATCATTCCCTATGGGTCAAGCATTCAAACACATGAGTCTATAGGGGCTGTATCTATTCAAGCCACCATAGGGTGTTATTTTTGATGATCTACTTGATTGAGAAAGCTAGCTCTGGGCATTTGGGAAGCACAACTCTGGAGTCTCTGGGATGGCGGTTTCCATGGTGATGCTGAGGACTCCAGTTCAATGCCTGGCTTTGCAGTAAGAATGATTGGGAGGTGGTGAGTAGTGGGAGGTGAGACCTCCATGGGGGATGAGAATCACCGGGCACTGGGGCATGCTCTGGGCGTTGTAGCTGCCTGGTGTTTTACGTATCCCCACTCCCTGCTTCCCATCTATCATGAGGTCTGAAGTTCCTCGACCACCTGTCCCTGCCACCATTGATGCTCTGACCATATGCAAAGGGCCAAGTAACCCTGGAGTGAGCGCTCTTGGATACTGTGCACTCAAGCAAGGTTCACTGTAGTTTTCATCAGGTTTTTGTCCCAGCAGTGAGAAGAATATCACAAGGGCGGGAAAGCCGAACTACTTTTAAATTGTTTGAATTTGTTCTAAGACTGGACAAACTTTCCAGAAGCGCTATAGCTAACCTGCTATATGATGGCGGAATGCTGAATGCCCTTTCTCTAGAATCATAAATGAGGCAAATGTGGAGATTTATGGGGCGCTTGTCACTTTTAACATGTAAATAAAGCAACCCTGGACAGCACTCACTGCTGAAGTGGGGTGCGGAACCATCTCCCCTTACATTGCTGGTGGTGTCTCTAGGTACCAAACAGACATTGCTATGTGACCCTCTCATCACATTCCCAGACATTCATGACCACTTAGAAACTGTGCACAGCACTGTGCTGGTTAGACATTTTATAAATTTGGCATAATATGGAATCGTTTTGGAAGAGAAGCCTCAACTGAGAAAATGCCTCCATCAGATTGGCCTTTGGGCAAGCCCGTGGGGAATCTCTTGATTAATGGTTGATGTGGGAGGGGTCAGCACACGGTGGATGACGCCACCCCTGGGCAGCTTCGTCCTGGGGGTGTTTAAAAAACTGAGTGAGCCAGTAAGCCATGTTCCTCTGTGACCTCTGCTTCAGCCCCTGCCTTGAGTTCCTGAGTTGGCGTCCCTCAATGCTGAGTAGCGATTAGAACATGCAAGCCAAACAAACCCTTTTCCTCAAGTTGCTTTTGGTCATAGCAATAGACAGCAACCTGAAATGAGCAGTATCTGTAACGACCCCCAACTAGAGATAATCTCATTGTCCCTAACACGAATGGTTGAATGAATGGCAGTATGTCTGTACCATGGAATACTACCCAGTAATAAAAAAAGAAACAAGATAGCAATCTAAATACATCTCCAGGCCTGAGTGAAAGGGAAACCAAATCAAAACAAATGCCTAACTCAAAAGGTCTCCCGCTATATGATGTTATTGATGTAACCTTGTCCAAACAACAGATTTATCAATATGGAGGAGAGTGCTGAGTTCAGGGCTCAAGGACAGTGAGAGGGGCCACTGTAACTCTAAAGTGGGATCCAGGTCAGTGATGGTGCAGGTGTCCCTGCTCTCCTGCTGGAGGAGGCTCCATCCCCTGCCTCTCTGCTCTTCCATACATATTTTAACCTGCTTGAATATTTAAAGAGGCTCGGAACCTCTGTTTTTATTATTCACTTCTTCAGCTTCCTTGGCTGTCAGTGAACTGAGGCTTCTGGCCAAACCACAGCTCATCAAAGAGTGAAGTGAGCTCAAAGGAGGCTGCGGCTAAGCCCAAGGCTTCACCTCAGAGATTCCTGGACTTCCGGGTCTCCTCTGAGGGCAGGCTATGGAAAGCGAAAGAACTTGTGGGGTGCGTGCTTTGGATAGAGAGAGGCCTCCCCTGGCACAGGGCAGAAGAGGGCAGGTCAATGCACCTGCCCTGTGCACACCTTCCGAACTCACCCAGAAGGTTGCTTCTGGTCAGGGACAACTTGGGACATGTGAGGGTGTATACAGCAACAGGCAGGAGGCCCATCACCTCCAGGTGACACTCAGCTCTCCTCCCCCACCTGGAAGATTCTTGCATGTGACAGCGGATTTTTGGCAGCATGAGGACTGGGATGGGCTTGCCTGGATGTAGCCTTTGGGCTTTGAGAGCCTTGCACTAAGTAGCCCTGGGGTAGCATAGCGCAGGGGTGGATTATGTTCTTACCTGTAAGACGAGGTCTGAATCCACATGCTTGCCGATCGTGGTGCTTTTATTTAGGACAAAAAAGCCATCTGCGCTCTTCAGATAGGCTTTCATTCTCTCCTATTTCCCTGCAGAAGGGTCCAGAAAAGCTTTGGTTAGGGAAACATGTAAGCCAGACCGGGATGATGTGGTTGCCATAGGGTCATTGTGTCCTGAGGTCTATAGAGAGAGGGAGTGGCCAGGTGGTGACAAGGGACATGCCTTTTAAAGGACATCTCTCCTAATAGTGATCACTAGCAGAGGGTTGAGATCTGATAATCAAATTCAAGGTATTTATTTTTTAAAATTATTTCTCTTAAGTGAATGTGTGCACGCTTGAGTGTGTACATATGCACCAAGTGCATGCAGAAACATGTAGAGGTCAGAAGAGGGTACCAGAGCCCCTGGGATTGGAGTTACAAGTGGTTGTGAATGGGGGAGGGGACTGAAGAGATGACTCAGAGGTTAAGAGCACTGGCTGCTCTTCCAGAGGTCCTGAGTTCAATTCCCAGCAACCACATGGTGCCTCGCAACCATCTATAATGGGGTCTGATGCTGTCTTCTGGCCTGCAGGCATACATGGAGATAGAGCACTCATATACATAAAATAAACAAATATTAAAAACAAAAACAAGTGGTTGTCTGCCATGGGGGTGTCGGGAACTGGACCTGGGCTCTCTGCAAGAGCAGTTCAGTCAGAACTCAACCACTGAGCCGTCTCTCCAGCCCCCAGATGGTATTGCTTCACTGGGGGAAGAAATAAAACAAAGCTCTAAATCAGCCAAGCACAACCTGAATGTCACGGATGATGGCTGTCCATCTAGTTATCCATGACTCTGCCTGCTCGTGTGGATTAGTTATGATCCGGCACTTACTAGTGCAGACAATGTGGCTGAGTTACTCTCTCCTAGGCTGCCTGGCACACAACAAACTCTGTTATCATTGATGCTAACTTGGGCTTCTCAAACTCCAGTTCAGAGACCCACGCGCTTCCACTGAGTTTAAATTAAAGCACCAAGCATTGACCATTGAAAAAAGCAAGCATCAACTGATAGGAAACTCTCTTTATAAATCACTTTATTGAATTAGGAAAGGGTGTAATTTGTTTTAAAAATTTTAAAACACTGTGTGTGTGTGTGTGTATGCACACAAGCATGCACGTGCATTTTGTGCAGGTGTCCATACACCTCAGTAAGCATATGAAGATTATAGGACAACTTGCTGGAGTCAGTTCCCTCCTTCTGTGGATGGGTGGTGGGACTCAAACTCAGGTCCTCGGGCTTGCTCGGCAAGTACTTTTACCTGCTGAGCCGTTTCACTGACCCAAGGACTGATTTATGAAGATAAAGTAGGAAGATGTAGCGTTCTGTGTGGTCAGAACTCTGCATGGATTTCCCCCAACATTTTACTATGGAGATGTCAAATATACAGAGATCCTTGAAGTAGATGGTGAGCTGGGTGTGGGGTCACAAGCCTGTAACCCAGCACTGTGGATGCTGAGACAGAAGGATTGGGAGTTTGAGAGTGGGCTAGAGTGCATAGAAAGAAAATGAAAAGAAGCCAGAAAGATGGCTTAGAGGCTGGAAGCACTGGCTTCTCGGGTTTACAAAGGACTCAGGTTTGATTGTCCCAGCATCCACATGGTGGCTCATGACCATTCACAACCCCAGCTCCAGGAGATCTGATCCCTCTTCAGCCTTTCATGGGCACCGAGTGGACACATTTGCATAGACATGCTTGCACAAGACACATTTAAAAAAAAAAAAAAAAAAAAAGGTAGAAGAGAAAGGGGTAGAAATTGAACTCCTATGAACGTGCCACTTAGATTCTGTAATGAAAGTTTTCTATCATTGTTACCATCACTATTATGTTCTGGGTTTGAGACAGGTTCTCCAGGTAGCCCAGGCTGGTCTGAAACTCACTGTATAGCTGAGAATGACTTTGAACTCATTTCCCCATCTCTACTTCCCAGGTGCTAAGATTCCAGGTGTGTACCACCATGCCCAGCTTGCTGTGGTTTCTTTCCCATCTACCCATCCATTTGTATTTCTCACAATGCACTCCAAAATAAGTTCTGCACAGTTTAAAAACACTGAGCATTCCTAAAACATGATGGTAATGCATCTTTCTGTTTGAATTCTAACTGTGTTCCATCTAGGTGCCCAAGACCCATCTCAATGCCAGGTCTAAGAGCAACAGTTATAATTTTCTTTTCAAATGAGAAACTTCTAAAAAGTAGAGTTTTAATCTGGAGATAGAAACAACAACAAAACAACGCTCTAACTGTGATGGTGAGGACACTTGGGTCTCTGCTCTCCATCACCACCCTGTACAGAGCCTAATTAGGGCTAGGCATTCAAGGATGACCTTGAACTCCTGATTCTTCTGCCTTCACCTTCTGGGAGCTGTGTTCACAGACATGCACCACCACATCCACCTGCATGATGGAACCCGGAGTGGATGCAGGACAGCCAAAGCAAGGGGCGTGGGGATCTCTGGTCCGGGAGTCTCCTGCCTTCCCTCACTTGGTAGCTGCCCTCACTTGATAACTTGCTTGTAGAGTGAAATCTTGGGGACCTCTGCCAGCCTGACAGTTTTGGTCACTACAAAATCTCCAGTGCCCAGAGCTGCTGTACCAGACAGATAGAGGTGTTTAGCAAATACTAGCTGAGGAGGGCACCTCCTTTCATTCCGCATTTCAGTGTCAATCCTAGACGGAATTTTAGAAGTTCAGATTATTTCCTTCAATGCCTTGCTAGGTGATGTTTCTACATCTTAGTCTGGCCCTGGGCAGTCCCTCACCTGCCTGGAAATAACTGTGGTGGTTTAAAAGGGCTAAACTGTGGATTGGCTCTCTTGATACCCTGCTAAGAGCCAAACAGCTTCCATCACACGTGAGTCAGAGATGGGTTACAGATGGGCTATGGAGTGAACATTCTGTGAGGGCTACTTAGCCTGGGAGCCAGCTGTGTACTTAATTTCCTTCGAGTTATAGCTGATGTCTCTGACAGATGCTGAATGGTCCCCTAAGGCAGGGAGTTCCCCTCCTAATCCCAGCTGCACCAGGTGGACATTGTAGAGGCCTAAGGTCCCACCAGGATGCCTCTGGTGACAGGGTGTGACTGCACTTGAGGAGGAAGGGTCTGGGCAGCTGCACTGAAACTGGAGCCTGGATTGGAGAGCTTGATGTCGGGGACACGCCTTCTCCCATCACCGCTGCTCTTTGCCAGTCGTCCCTGGAATCGCACTCACCTGGCAGGTGGAGGAAGCTAGTGTCCTGTCCTCTTTCGAGAGCCCTGCGGGCTGGGAGCCACTAGACAGCTCCAGGATGAGTGGCCTGCTCTGCGGAGTCTCCAGCTCCGCCAGTACCCCGCTTGCCCCGCCAGGCCTGTGTACGCGTGTCGTCATGACAACGCAGCGGGCGGGTCAGCAGGTGAGGGGCGTGGCCTTTGCGGGGGCGTGGCCGCGCTCTGAGCACCTCTGCCTGCCTCTCTCTCTCTCTCTCTCTCTCTCTCTCTCTCTCTCTCTCTGTGTGTGTGTGTGTGTGTGTGTGTGTGTGTAGGGTGGGTGTCAGGTATGACTATGTATTCCAGGCAGCCCTAGAACACCTCGTTTTACAGATGGAGAAACTGAGGCTCATAAGCCCTACAAGCTTTTGTAAAAGAGTGATCGAGCTCAGAGGGTTTGTTTTTATCTCCTCTGTGGAGGGGGTATGGTGACAGGTGGGCTGGGAGGTTGGAGAATCTTGGGGGTCAGTCTCATCCAGACACACCTCCTTGGGGTAAGGATGGTATTTGGTATGAAGCAAGCCAACCAGACAGAACTGGGATACTTTGTGCAGTTTCTGCCCCCACAGCCCTCCCACTCTCACCCCTGCTTCCGGGGACAAGAGCCACTTAACCATTCTTAGTGTGTCTCTCCATGCATTGGTCCGATACACATTAGCCTGACTGGCCTGCTCCGTGAACACAGGACCAGAGATGTCCCGGGAAGACCTGCTCACACTACCGGACTCAGCGGAACCCAGGCGCACGGTGAGGAACAACTACTCGCTGTGTAGCTGCCAGCCCATTCCCGATGAGAGAATTTTAAACTCCCAGCTGAACTCACTTCCAGGGTCATTAGAATAGAAAGTGCCCAAGCCTGATCAATCTTCCTCCCAGACAGGCACAAAATTCTGCAACCTGACTCTATGCAGTCCTTGTTCAGTTGGGAAACAACAAAAATCATCTTGACTGCATGAGGTTTTATAATGGTGCTTCCTGGGTGGAGTGAAGGCAGGTGTTAATTAGGGTTTCTATTGCTTCAGTGAAACACTGTGACTATAAAGCAAGTTGGGAAGGAAAGGGTTTATTCAACTTATACTTCCACATTGCTGTTCATCATTGAAGGAAGTCAGGACAGGAGCTCAAACAGGGCAGAAGCTTGGAGGCAGGAGCTGATGTTCAGCTGTGGAGGTGTCCTGCTTCCTGGCTTTCACTCATGGCTTGCTCAGCCTCCTTTCTTATAGAACCCAGGAACACCAGCCCAGGGATGGCTGGCACCACCCACCATGGGCTGGGCCCTCCCACATTGATCACTAATAAAGAAAATACCTCACAGCTGGATCTTGTAGGGGCATTTTCTCAACTGAGGTTCTTTCCTCTCTCTTGACTCTAGTTTGTATGTCAAGACTAGCCAGCATATCTGGGTATTGCAAATACTGCCTTTGAAGAAAATATCCAAGGTTTTGGTTTCTATAACCAAACTGTTTGAGTTCTGGGTGACTTGGGGACAGAAGCAGGTGTTAGTATTCAGACATCTGTGCTGGCCTGTCCTTGGGGTTCTGATAGGTTATGACCTCAGCTGCAGCCACTAAGAGCACCACCCATGCATATTCACTATGTTCTCTTTTAAAAGGGCCCGGCCCACCTCCCATCCTTCTCTCTTTCTCTCCCTCTCTCTTTCTCTCCCTCTCTCTGCCTGTTCCTTTCTCTCTCCCCCTTCTTTCCTTTCTCCTCTCTCCTGCTGCTCCTGTTACCGGAGACTGGTCTCCCCCCTTCCCTTTCCCCTTTTTATGATCCCTTTCCCTAATAAAAAACCCTCTGCTTGAACACTGTCAAATGGCGTCTTTTCTTAAATCACAACAGCAGGGAACAATACAGAAACACTCAAGGGAGTGACTGCTGCATCAAGGTACTGGAAATGCCAATGACACTCATAATCCCTGGGAAATCACTGGCCTCCTGACAGAAACATGATACTTGAAGACAGAATGGGCCCACAACCACACCTACGAGAGACAGCTGAGCAGGATCTATGGCCTGACTTATGGTTTATGTTGGCCTGACAGAGTTATGAGTTTAGTAGGAGTCACGTTTTGCGTTTTGATCTTTCCTGGACTAGAGACATAATATGGAATGTGATCCCTTCTCATGTTTGGCAGCAGTCCTTTATTGTGGTTAAATAAGGATCTGGGAAAACAGATAGGCTGATGGATGTTTATTCAGGGAGAAATCACTTACAACAGAAACAGATGACCACCAGTAGGTTCCTGTCCCAAGGATGCCTCCAGATGTCCAACCAGAAAGCAAGATGGAGCCTGCTGGGGTCCCCAACAGCAGACCTAATTCTTCCAGGTCTGTGTACATATGGAAGACAGAACACAACCTTGACTATCATATATATATATATATATATATATATATATATATATATATATATTTGAGGCAAGTAGTTTGAATGTAATTGACTCCCATAAGCTCAAAGCTCATAGGGAGTGGCATTAATAGGAAGTGTGGCTTTGTAGGTATGGTCTTATTGGAATGTTTTACTATGGAGGGCTTTAAGGTCTCATATGCTCAAGATACGCCCCCCCCAGATACTCAAGACTACTTCCTGTTGTCTACAGGATATAGAACTCTCATCTACTTCTCCAGCACCATGTCTGCCTGCAAACCTTCATGTCCCGCCACGATGATAATGGACTGAACCTCTGAACTGTAAGGGAGCCACCTCAACTAAATCTCTCCCTTTTCAAGAGTTCCTGTGGTCATGGCATCTCTTCACAGCAATAGACACCCTACTAAGACACAGTGTCTCTCATTGTCCTGGAGTTCTCCAGCAAGCTAGGCTAACTAGATAGTATGCCCGAGTATTGATATGACAAGCACATGTCACCATGCTTATGACCTGAGATTACAAGGTCATGACCCTGTGCTTGCTCATCACTCTACTGAGCTATCTCCTGAAATTCACTATTTCAATTATGACAAGCATATTGGGCCATAGCCTGTCTGTAAAGCAAGGAGTATCTGTAGATGAGCATAACTAAGGAAGTATCTACTCTAAGGCACCACGACTGACAGCTGTCACAAGCGAAAGAGTGACATCTGCTTGCTACCGACTTCCCTGCCTTCTGAGCAGATTGTGCTTCTGTCTGTCCCAAAGACCCAGGCAGAGACAAAGTATAGGGAGAAGGGTCACAAGCTAAAAAGGGCCATCTCAGGTCTGTCCCCCATTGCATCCGCTGGGAGTCCAACTTTTCTCCTGCAACTTCAGCTCCCACAGAAATTTCATTCCTCTCCTGCCGTCTTCCCCTGGCTTTCCCTGGCTGTCCTTATCCCCTCCCTGGATATCTCTAGAAGTTTCTTCCTCTGCTCTTGCATTCTGGAAGGAGGTGAATTCTGGCTTCAGCTCCATCTAGGAGAGGTGGGAGGCTTATGGTTAGCTCAAAGGAAATTTCTGGTTCTGTAACCGAGTCTAGCAGCCCTCTGGCGGACCTGCGATAAAGTCGATCTCCTAGATGGTTCCTGAGCCTGTCAAGTCAATAATCAACACTAACCATCACATTTGGGTCCCAGTGGGCAGCAGATCCTAAACCCAACCCCAGATCAGGATCACCAAATCCCTGGGCCTCCATGCTGACACGATACTCAGCCCATGCCAAGGTCTTCCTGTTTGCACAACATCCTGGTACTCAGAGCAACATCTGCCGTGTACCGCACTCACTCTCCTTTCTTCATGTAAGTGAGTGGGGTTAGGTATGAGTGGACTGAGACATGGACCCCGAGAGAGTGGGAGCCATTGCGATGGGGAGAATGATGCCCCAAGCTGGGGTGCACACTTCTGGAGAGCCCAGAGCCTTTTGTTGTTTGTAATAACAGTTCTGCTATCTTAAAACATCTCATCTATTTGCCAGGAGGGCAGTGGCATGTGTGCCACAGGGCATGGGTGTGGAGGTCAGAGGGTCATCTAAGGGAGTCACTTCTCTCCTCCCACTACATGGGGCCCTGGGATTGAACTCAGGACATCAGACGCCTGTACCAATTGAGCCATCTCCTCAGCCCGAGGCTGGAGCTTCTGCTGGCTTCTTCAACAGCTGGTGATGGTCAGCTTTAGTTACTGTGTCACTCACAGAAGCTGTGGGTCCCAGGGGAGGAGGCGTTGGGTACTGTATATCCCAGGGAGATTAAGAAGTGAGACAGATGACACACTCACGGGTGACTCATAAGTGACACCTGACTCTCCGAGTGGCTCCCTGAGGCATGTCTCTTGGAGACACTCTTGTCTCTGTTAGTTGTACAGAAAGTTCTGGAAGGTCTTGGTGGGTGGGTGTGAATGTCAGTGGCAGAGCCCCACCATGTGAAAAAGTTTCCTCCAGTCACTGGCTTGAGATGACCTCATCTGTCATTCCTCCACTCCTGGAGGATGTGTGGCATTTCACAGGATGTTCCCAGCATGCCTCGGTTATCTTAGAGGTGCTGATGTGGGGCATTAGGTGGCTGTTTTGGGTCATTCCTGGCTCTAACTTTTCCTTCCCTTCCCGATCAGGTTAGCTTGGGCTTCTCTGGTCGTACTTTTTCTCCTCGGGTTTCCTCTAAATCATTCCATTTGGACTGATGACATCCGGCCTCCTCCCCACACTGCATGGACTCTCTCTCTGGGAACAATTGTTCTTTTCTTTCCAAGCCCTCATCCACCCTGATCTGTTACCCCACCTTCTCATCTCTCCTGGGAACGGATTGTTGTTCAGAAACTTAAACCTCTAAGATTGTCCCCTCTAACCCAGGTCTGAATTCAGAGCAGTCAAGAGCTGAGAGACAGGAATGTACCCAGGCCACTGGGATTCAGAAGAGGCACCGATTGCTCTGTGGGGCTCAGAAGAAACTGTGGTAGAGAAGAGGGCTGTGGCCGTGTTCTTAAATGACTCCAACACTCATGTGGCGAAGGCTTGATCTCCAGTCCATGGTGCTCCTGAGACGTGGTGGGACTTTTGGAAGTGGGAGGGGGTGGGGCATTGAGAGCATGCTCTTGGAAGGAAGCCCCTCCCTCCTCC